GTTCACCATCTTTTAACCATGCCTCAACATTTTCAGCACTTTTATTTCCTTTTATAGACAATTATTTGGCACCTTCATATGCATACAGTATAATTAATGGGAAGTAGCCTGAGAAAATTAAATGTCATAATTAAAGATTAGAGAACATGTTACTCAATTGTCAAGGCTAAACTTATACTTAGGTCATTATATTAGGGTTGGCTGCTAGCCTTTTGTCTGTGAAATTTGTTTTGCTGAGTAGTTTTGCTTTCATTCAGATGAATGTTGCTGTTGCTTTTATTTTCCTAATACAGGAAGTAGTAACTCCCATTATTATATTAAGCTGTTTCCTTTCTAAGACACTTTTGCAAGCTCGGTCTGCGCATTTCCTCTGTCAAACTGATCTTATATATTGTGTGTGTGCTTCCTGAAACCATTTAAGCATTGATGGAAACTATTAGCATGTCAGTGCAGCCTTTAAACAGAGAAAAGTTACTAGTCTAAAAACATTCTTTCTTCTGTACAAAACCTTTCAGTGTTCTATGATGCTGTTTTGCTGCTAATAAGAAGTGATCTTCACGAAGAGTTTTAATGAAGGACCTAGTGGGTTTGGGGTTTAGAAACAGAATGCTTTGACGTTTCATTTCTGGACATGGATTTGAATGTGGCTTCCATCAGCTGCTGATTCAAAATAGTTCCATCTGATGGCTGCCTTGTCTCTACAGTTAGCCAAGGCCTCTTGGCTGAGCAGGTGTTCATGTCACACAGAAAATGCTGTCACCTCTGACTTTTACAGATGCTACAAGGTTAAGAGTTTTCAGCTGAGTTGCAGACTTTAAAATACTATGAAGAATCCTGCCACCCTGGCCCCCACTTGGATCTTTTCATCAAACTTTGGTGAAAACAGTGGTTCGCCAAGTAGAATATCCTGTATCTGATGGTCACACCTAGGAACTAATGTTGAGAGAGGGATGGGGACATGATTTGTTCTCCGTGATGTTTCAAAGTTCCTCTGAGTTTCTTTCTTATTTTCGTTGTTTACCATCTTTTTAAGAAACAAGTTCCATATGGGTTGGTTTTTTTCCTTGCTGTAGAGAGGAGTGCTTAGCTCAGTTTAATCTAAAACTCTCTTGCTTCAAAAGATGCCCCTTGAAAACATCCTAAAATTGATTGTGGTGATGATTGCACAAGTCTGTGTCTATACTGAAAACCTTTAAATTGTACACTCTAGATGGGTGAATTCTATGGTACGTGAATTATACCTCAGTAAAGCTGATAGATTCCCCACACAAGATTCCCCTTAGTTCAAAATGCTAATACTTAATAAATAAGCCCAGGTGCTTGGTATTAATTTTGCTTGTGGTTTTATAAACCTTTTCCTATTATTCCCCTGAGTCTTTGAATTTCTTAGCTAAAGAGCTCTAATTTTTTCAGTTTAACCTTATGTACATTAATTTATCGACCAATAAGTACATATTTAGCACCTCTCTTGAGTGGCAACAGCCAAATCCTTATAGGGACAACGGTAATAGCAGGAAGAGAGGAGCAGTTGTAACAGGAATTATTAATAATAAAGTAGCAATTGGAACTCTAGCCATTCTGTTGGTGAAGCACAATAGTGACTTAACCGTGATTGTGGTGACAGGGAGCCAACAATTGAGTCCCTGCTAATGGCCCAACAGGGAAAGGGGTTGAAAAGAAGGAAGGAGTGGTTTACATTACAAAGGGATTGTCTGAGAGCTGCCTAAGTGTGGTTATGAGGGGAGGTTGGGCTGAGACAGAAGGGATGATAACCATGGAGCTGTCAAGGGCATCTCAGGGGCTTAGGCAAGCACTGTGGCAGCCAGACACAGCCAGCTGAGAGCAGACAAGTCCTGGCCCTGCCTAGTACTGATTGAGAAAAAGGAAATGCAATGAGAAGATAATTGAGCAAACCAGGAGGCCTGGACAAGCCTTGCAGAATTGAAAAGTGTGTCTTGGGGCCATCAGAAGCTTAGGGGAAAATATTCCTGGCTTCATGTTGACCAAGATTGGACTACTCTTTGGGAAATAAAACTGCTGAAAGGGTGTGTGTGTGTGTGTGTGAATAAAATGCTGTGATTGGCAGATCTATTGAAAAGAGTAGGTCTTTGACATCTGTTGAACTCCTCCTTGTGATTGTATATTTCTGAAATACACACATGCACCCACGCATGTGCCCAGCTTTTACCAGTTGCTTTGGGGTATATGATTTAAAAAAGAAGAAGAAGAAGAAGACCTACCCTACAGCCCGTATTCCAATTACCTTGTTTGTTCCAATAACGTCCTTTATAGCATTTCCCCCTCCAGCTGATAATCATGGATTCCATTTAGTTGTCATGCATTGGAGAAACATAAAGGTCAAAAGAATATGATGAAACTAATGGGGCATAGTGTTAAATATTGATGAATGTGGGTAAAGGAATGTTCCCCCTGTGTGACCCCTCCTGACCTCTTTATCTTGATCTCATAAGACTTGTCCTCTTGCCCACTACATTACAATCCCAGTGGATTCTTTTTGTTCCTCCAACAAGCGAAGCTATTCCTACCTTTAGGCCTTTGCATCCAGGTCTCTACTTCTTGAATTGTGCAAGATGGCTCCTTCATGTCATTTGACGCTCAGCTGAGATGTCACTTCCGCAAGAGGACATTTTTGCTAACTGAGGTAGTGAGCCAGTCACTTTCTATCCTCTTCTTTAATGCCTTGCCTAGACCTATCACTAACTGGCAGTTCTGTCTCTCTTCTTCATCAGTGTATTCCCTGCACCCAAAACAGCACCTGGTCTTGGTAAACACTCTGAAACTGTTTGTTGACTGAGTATACTAATCTAAGAGTCCAGAAATAGTCATTAAAAATGATGGCTATGCCTTAGGGATGTCCTTTATGGAAGAAGATGTTTAAGAACTCCAGTCATAAGACATACATTCAGTTAGAAAACCTTGGCCTTATGTTAGAAAAATGGTGAATGAATGTATTTATATATAAACAAATACTGAATGTTTATGATCTATAAAATCTTTTATATTCTTTAATGAAGAACATTTCTCATTGTGAAATATCTATACAGAGTATATTGTTTAAGAAGGCATCTACATACGTGATTCTGATTATAGAAGTAGTATGAACATGAAAAACCAGAAAGGAAATATATGAAAATAATAACTATTTGGGGAGGAGAATGGAATTATGAGTAATTTTTCTTTTTTTAATTTTCCAAGTATTCTACATGTGGTTCTATTATTTTTCTAACTTAAAAAAATATTTTTTAAGAGATAAAACATAATACAGAATAGATACAATCAAATATGAATAAGACTATAAGTGCACTTTGAAGATGGAAGAGCTTTCTTGAATTTGACATGCTTAGCAAATGAAACTTTAAGGAAAAAGCAGTAATTGATCTGGGCTTTGCAAAAACTGAAAGGACTCTTGAGGGTAGACAAATGGGTAGAGAGAGCTTTTTTGGGTAAAGTAGCAGAATGAACAAAGATAGAAAGGGAGCAGTTAGTACCTAGGGGAGGCTGAGACGACAGGCCAAAGTGAATGGAAAGCTCCCATTTGGGAGCTAATGGGAAGCAATGTGGGAGAGTAAGATAAAATCACATTTTAGAAGATCTTTAAGATCAGGCTGAGAGGTTTAGACTAGAAGTGGAAAGAAGTGGGGGAACCACTGTGGGTTCTTGAGAAAAACAGTAACCTGGGTATTTTAGGGAAAATCTCCCATACAGGGAGTGAGAGCACTGGCAGTTAGGAATGAAATGCCAGTGTTCACCTGGCACTCGCAGGAGGCACCACTGTCCATCCGAGCTGTGCTTCACAGAGACTACCTCCACACCATCTCCATCCAGCCTGCAGTCAGAGACCACGAATCCATCAGAGCTGGTGTAGGAAACGTGCTTGCCGTCCTCTGCATGTGGGCCACACGAGAGAAGAGAGAAGAGGAAGGTGGAAAGGGGAAAGAGGAGGAGACAGGAAGCCCCAAAGAGCAGGTTCTAAAAGTTCTAAGAATATAAGCAGGATAAGTATCTTGAGATGTGTTGTGCATATTTGTAGATTTGTGGTTTAATTAGGGCCACAAGTAGAGATCTTTTTGTGTAACTCATTATTCAGTTGTTATGGGAATGTTCTGCTTTTTCTGGTGTATAGTTTCTAGGCACTGGATTTTTTTTGAAAGTGTTTCCTTATATATTTAATGAGACTTGAGAACAGTAACTCCAAGAAGTAGTGTGCCATCAGAAGATCCCCACCCATCTTTAATCTACATAGATATGGATGCACTTGCTCTGTCCACTTGTGGAAGTTAACTTGTCAGAATATGTTAAGCCACTAATTTGGTTTTGTTTTTTCTTAAAAAAAGGTTTTGTTTTCTCTTATTTTTAAAAGCTGTTTTTAGGGGCGCCTGGGTGGCTCAGTCAGTTAAGCGGCTGACTTCAGCTCAAGTCATGATCTCACAGTTCATGGGTTCGAGCCCTGGAACCTGCTTCAGATTCTGTGTCTCCCTCTCTCTCTGACCCTCCTCTGTTCACTCTCTGTCTCTCTCCCTCTCTCAAAAAAACTAAATAAACATTTAAAAAAAAATTTTAAAGCAGTTTTTAGATCACAAAATTGCAAACAAAATTAAAAATAAAATGAAATTGTCTCATCTTTGGGGGAGAAAAGCTTCTACTCTGTCAGTGTGTGGGCTGCTAGCAGAACATAATGTTTATCTTTGCTGCATGTTAAAGATGGAAAATAAAGTTAGCAATAGCCAAAAGGCCTTCTTTTGAATAACTTATCATGAAAGGGAAAGCATAAATCTAGTGGCAAAACAACTCTCCTTTATAGGCTAGTATATTGTGGATGGGTCTGAGAAAATATAAAATTTTATTTCTGTCTATTGGGTAGGTTTGGGGTAATCCCCCAAACCTTGAATTTAAGATTTGGTTTCTGGACCGGAGACTGTTGAGTTTTTTATTGATCTTTCTCTCTCTTTTTTTTTTCCCTTTTCATTGCTGTGATCAAGAGCTTACAAGACCCTATGAAAAAGCTGATTGAGAAAGAAGAAAGGAAGAAGATCACCCAGCAGGAAAGTGCAGAGGCCACTGTGGAGGAGCCGAGTCAGTAAGTTATAGCTACTTCTCCTGGCAGATCTTTCTTCCGCAGGCAAGGGCAGTAGAGTCCTCACTGGCCAAGACTGCTGGGGTCTCCATCAGAGGGCAGTTGCTTTACTTCCTCCCTTCCCTGAGTTGATATATTAGAATGAAGTCCAAACTCATCCTGCACATATTCCCACTAAACCAGAACTCTTCCCAATAAGAGACTCATTTCTGGGGTCTTAGAAGGAGCACAATGTGAGAATTTGACTGGGACAAGAAAAGGCACACATTTCCAGTGCTGTCTGGCTGTCTGGTGGCCTCAGCCTCTGCTTCCTGCTCTCTCAGGCTTCTAGACCCAATCTGGTCCTTTTGTTTCCATCATTTACAAAATCCTGTCGCAGATAGGAAATCCTCTGACTTTTCTCTCATAGAAGGAAATAACCTATGAAATTGCCTCATAAGACATACAGTACTAAGGTGCTATCTATCCTACAAAAGCATTGGATTCTGACATTTTGTCTTCTACTGTTTAGAACTTCTGTTTTTCCCTCTGTGAAGCACAGAGCAGCTTTGAGTTCAGGAAGTGAATGCTTCATCTTCAGTTCCTGCCGCTTTGCAAAGAAGGCACCTGCAGTCATTTTACATACTGAGACAGACTTTTCCACATACATGGAGCATGATGCATCCTAATCACATTCAGCAAGGAGGCTTCATTGTGAATCGATGTCCTTTCTTAATGAGGTGTCAGGGCATGCAGGGATAGGGTTAATCCTGAACTGGCTGACCTAGAAAAGTGAAGTAGATTACCTTACCTCCATTTGTGATTCTTTTTTCACACATACAAAAAAATTAGATGATAGTTGTGTGATAAAACTGCCTTATATTTTTACTGTGTTTTTTTTTTTTAAAGAATTTTTTAAATGTTTTATTTATTTCAGAGAGAGAGAGAGAGACAGCATGAGCAGGGGAGGGTCAGAGAGAGAGGGAGATACAGAATCCGAAGACCAGCTCCAGGCTCTGAGCTGTCAGCACAGAGCCTGATGCAGGGCTAGAACCCACGAACCATGAGATCATGACCTGAGCTGAAGTTGGACGCTTAACCAACTGAGCCACCCAGGCGCCCCTACTGTGTTTCTAAATAAAGTTTTAAATATATATTTTTGTCACACAGAGTTATTTGCTGCCAATATTAGCCTTTTTAGTTTTAAAGCAAATACTAGAAAGTTCCTATAGTGTAGAGCAGAGACAACTTTTCACTGTGGGAACAGCTGTAGAATATGATCTGAATCTAGTACAATTGACTTATTGTAGGGGGAAGCAGTTTAACCTATTCCTGGTAATAATAGTAATGCTGAATACCCTTTAGCAAATACCTACTATGTACAAGTCACAATGTCAGGTGCTTTATTTATGTTATCTCTACTCATTCTCATGCGAACCCTTGGCATAATCAATGCTGGCATTTCCCTGTTGAGTAAATGGTGGACGCAAGGCTCAAAAAGAAGTTAAGGGACTGCCCATAGCCCATGGTGTAGTTAAGAGGCAATGCCTGGAATGTATTCTGTTACCTTTTTTTCACCATATATGTTACCACAATCAAAATAAAGCATTAGCTTTTATTCAGAAAGGAACCACCCAAGATTGTCTTGATTCGTTTTTGTTAACTTCAGATTTTTCCATTATTTTAGTATTTCATTTTTCAAAGCTCAAAAAGTATAATCCAATAATTATAATAGTAGGTAAAGGTGCTTTAAAGGGAGGTTCAGAAGCACAAGCTGAGTGTCAAGGTGGTGATATATGTCTGCTGTGATCTTACCGGTGTATGGTAAGAGTTGAGTAGGTGATGGTCTTCTGGAGAGTGATGGTGCTTCCATCCTTACATAATTTAAGGTAACCTCCTGCGGTGTCTTCTCCTCTAACACCTGGAATCAGAATAAACACCTACTTGGCCATCCGTTTATTAACTATTTTTTGAAGGTGATGAGTATGAAGTATCTCTCTTAGTTATATCTACCTAACTGCTCACCTAGATATTTACAGAATATATGACTTATGATGAAACCAGATTCAGCTATTAAGATGCTATGAACCAGCTGTAGGACAGGAAAAAAACAATGAATTTATGTCTTCTTAAAAAAATGAATAGCATCTAAATGACTACGCGTTCACCTTTCATGTGTGCATGCACATATCTGGGTGTTAAAAGTGCATTAATATTGTACAGAAAATCTGGGTGTATCATACATACAAAATTTTCAGAACTAGATTGCTAACTTTTTTTTTTTAATTTCAAGGTTAATTTCATTAGAGGATGAAAATCAGCGCAAGGAATCCTCTAGTTTTAAGAGTAAGTTTTTATTTTTATTTAGAATTGCTTCTGAAATAGTACTGCTCAGCAACCAGTCATTTTCTTTTTTCGCAGATTCTTCCTTTCCTCTTTTCCAAATGAGAAAATTGTATTTTAATTTGCTTTTTATCATTTTAGTTTTAAATTTGCAAATATCAATGATGCTGACCATATAGCATAATTGAGAGAGGTTCTATGTTGTGAACCAGAAAATAGCATCATTAGGCACTTCAGCAGCAGTCTGTCAGAGGAGCATCCAAAATTGAGAATTAACAGCTATTTCTCTGACAACAGATGATAACAATTCTGCTATTGCCATTACTCGTCCTAACTGCCATTTGGGCTGTAAAGATAATTTTAATAAGATTACATGATCAGGTTGGGTGAGTTTGTTTTCATTGTGTTGTGGGGTGGGTGTTGGCCTTTATTGGGAACAGATAGGGATAGCTCAGACATGGCTTTTCCAGGTGATTCCTGGATCTGCTCTGTCATGAGCAATCCCAGCTCCCTCGAGTATACCGACCCTCAAATGGTTGGAAAAGCGATCAGAGCATTGGTAGATGATGCAATGTGCTGTGAAAGGTTTGTCAGCTATTCCTGTCTCCTGCCATTACTGCCAGTTTTCACTGGTTCTTTTCATAAAGGAGTGGAGGGTCCAGTAAAATGTGGTGAGACTAAGGTGATGTAATGCTGAACTTTTCACTGGGACTCAAATCCTCTGAGATGCAGGGGAAAGCTTTACAGGTGATGTGGAGAGAACTAAACTTACCCTAACCCTGTGTTCAGCCTGACCCTCTTGGGGGGTATATCCACCTCTGCTCACTTCACCCTTTGCTATGGCAGCCCTTCCAGGAGATAGGAGGGGGAAGGTAGACCCTGGGACTTCTTTCTCTGCTTGTCCTTCACCCTCAACCTTCCTTCTGTCTTTCCTCCTACTTTTCCAACCGTTTGCTTCACCTACTTTATTCTCTTCCCACATTACTGGTTCATTTGCTTTTCTCACACCTGCCTTTCAGCACAAAACAAAACAAAACGCTCTCACCTTTATGCCTTTCTAACTTGGCTTCATGTCATCCTTTTGTGTGTTCACACCTCCACTTACATACTCATTCATGTTTACAACAGATATTTCTTATTGAGTGCTATCTGTGTGGCAGGCAGGCACGGCCCTCAGCTCTGGGCACACAGTAGTACACAGACAGATTCAGACCCTTCCCAGGATGGGGCTCATGGTCAACAAGGGAAGCAGGTGGTAATCTAAAATTGCACAGCAATTGGACAACTCTAGCTTTGGTAAGAACAGCAAGGATTCTGGGCATGTGTGATAGGGACAACTCACTTATTTGAGGGGATCACAAGAGCTAGTTGCAAAAGCTATCAGTGAAAGAAGCAGCCTGCACAAAGGCTGTGAGCCAGGGAGCACCAGGAGGTCAGAGGGACAATGTTCTAGAGCATGAAGGAGGGAGCAGGTGGCAGAAGACAGGCAGGCCAGCCTGAAGTTGTTGGCCATGTAAGAGCTCTCTGACTGTATTGACCAACACCTCCAGCCCCAGTCTCCCTTGGGTGCCAACAGCATGAATTCTATTGTGGGAATCTAGGTAAACAAATAGAATCATTTTAGTTTTGAGGGAAAATGTAAACTCCAGTTCATTATAGTTGTACTCAAGTTACATATCGATACAACTGATATATTTATACAATATATGATAATATAGAGGATCAGATTTTCTCTTTGGGTAATGTGTTCACCTATGGTATTTGCATAATATTTTGAGACTGCAAATGCTGATCTCCTTGTTTGATGTATACAAAGAGTGGAATCCACCATAATGAAGTGTCATCTTTTATTTTGTGACCTGCAAAAAGTCTAATATACACATGAGCAAACTAAGTTTTAAGCATGTTGTGTTGTATACACAGACACACACCTACACAGACACACACATACACACATTTTATTGTTTAGAGCAGTTTTTAGTTTACAGAAAATTGGGCAGAAGATACAAAATTTCCAAATACCCCCTGTTCCCACACCTGTGCATTATCAGCATCCCTCACCAGGGTAATACATTTGTTAAAATTGATGAACCAACACTGACACATCATTATCGCTCATAGTTTACATTAGGGTGCACTCTTGGTGTTATACATTTTATGGACTTTCACAAACGTATAATGACATATATTCTCCATTAGAGTATCATACAGAATAGTTTCATTGTCCTAAATCTTCCTTGTGGCTGCACCTTGTTCATCTCTCCCTTCCCCCAAAAACTTTTTACAGTTTTCATGGTTTTGCCTTTTCCAGAATTCAGTATAGTTAAAATTATGTTGTATGTATGGAATTATGTTACAGACTGACTGCTTTCACTCAGTAATCTGCCCAGTGGTTAAGGTTCATAGCACCATCATTAATCAATTACTTAAGCCATGCGTTTGTCCATGAAAAAAGTGTGAAGTCAGTGTCATATGTTTGTTTTCCACCAAACAAAGCAAGATTCGAGGCTGTCAGCTCAGAATTCATTGAGAGCCAACAGCTTGAGCAAAATGTAATGGAGGACCCCTGCTTCTGCGTGAGGAGCTATGTGTTTACCTTACACTGAAATAGTATATGAAGACACACACCATTCGAATTGGTGGTAACCAAGTGCATATGTTCTACTTACAGCTGAAGATGGAAAAAGTGTTTTAACTGCCTTAGACAAAAGCTCTACACATAATGTATGCTCAGGTAATCTAGATTAAGGAAAATGACTTAATTTTAATCAATTTGACAAACTCCTTACAAAATGAAACTGACTCATAATTTTGTTTTCTTTCCCCTCCTCTAATGGACCTCTAGATGAACTATTAGGCATGAAACCCGAGGAAGGTGGTAAGATTTATACATTTCTTTGGGATTATAATTTAATTTTTAATACTGTTTTTACATGCAGGAAAATGTAATGTTTATTTTTTGAATAACTTTGCATTCCCAAGCTAATTGTTTTTAGGTAACTGTCATTTGTCTTTATAAATGACTTTAAATATGCCCAAGCACAAATTAGTATATGTGGGATTTGTCATCCTTAGCTTAATTACGTAATGTTTAGACTACTAAAGCTAAAAGTTATTATGTCAAAGTTTGTATGCTATAGTACAAAAAACATGGCTTTCAGAATCAGACCTGGATTTGAGTATTAGTTCTACCACAAACTATCTGTAAGGCCTTAAGTAATTTGCTTCACACTTGAGCTCTTTCAGCCTCATTTGCTCCATTTGTAAAATGGAACCAATAGCAACAGTCTTTCTAGGCTGTTGTTAAAATTGGAGATCATGTATATACAGAGTCTCTCATGGCCTCTGACACAGAGACACTCTTCAGATGGTAAGCAGTTGAGATAGTGGCTCTAGCGACATTGTCCTGGTGGTGTAGTGTGCTGCACCTCCAGTGAACCTAAGTTAAACACAGAGGAAGAGCTTGCCTGGCTAGGTCACCCACCCAAGTTCACCACCTAAAATAATTTACTAGATAACTCCCCAAGAGAGAATCCAGAAGCATGGATCTGGATGAGACAGGCATAGTCTTAAGTGACCCTAGGAAATTGAGTGTGTTCAGCCTCATATAGCCTTTGTTTTCCGTACCACCAAGGGTTTGATTGTGATGATTTATCATGAGTCCAGTATATCCCTGAGATTCTGAGACAAATGCTAGAGCATCTTTTGTCCTGGGCTACTGATATATAGTCCACCCTGGTTTAACAAGTTTCTCCTAGACTGGAAATGGGGCAAGCTCATCCTATGCACCCCATTTAATTAGGGCTGAAATTTTTCTCTATTCAGTCTAAGCTTTATTTGGGTTTAATCCCCAAAGTGTGAGAGGAAGAAAGTCTTGGGAACAGAAGGCATTGATTAAAGCTTTTTCAAAAATCGAAAGGCAGTAGAACTCTTACATTAAATTTGCAGGACTTAGGATTATAAACTTGGAATAAACCTGCTTTCCTTACTAATTTCTGATTCCAGGCAACACACTTTGCAATATGTCATAAATGTCCATGTGTATTTTTATCAGAATGGTACTAATGTGTTAATATTAAAATCACCCCAGGTTATGAAAGTACAAAGCCAATAGTTAAAGCTCACTGCCATTATGGAGGCGGTGGGGGGGGGGCTCCATTTTCATAAAAACATTTCCCACGTGGCATAAGGTTAAATTACTTTTATGAAACACGGGACTTTTCTCACAACTTTTTTTGAAGGGAGAAATATTGCAGTCTTGCAAAGGTGAGATAAAGGCAATAATACAGCACACAGTAGGTACCCACCATGTAGTTTTACCAAATCTTAACATTTCACAAGTTATTTATACTTATATGTATCTTTCAATTTATTTTGAAAGTGAGATTGTTATTTTTCCTGTTGCTAACCTCTTGTTTATGTAATTTGCTCTTTGCTTTTAGTATCTATTTAATAGCATTATTTTCATAAATGTAATTTTTGAATAGGTACATTCTCATCAGTACATGATAATGATAACAAAAATATAGACTGTGGAAAATTCTGACTCCCATTTCTGCTCCCTACTGTTGATTCCATATTCTCATCCCTATTTCTTTACATACACACAAACAGACATAAGTCCATATTCTTATGTTTCCCCTCTTCTTACAAAAAAGGATTCTTGCTTTTGGATATTGACCTTTTCAACTTGGTAGTAGTGATACAGTGAAAATTAACCCAGTGGCCATTCTCCATTTCTTCACAGAATTAAATCAGAAATGCTACTGCCTGAGATACATGCTTACTTTCATAAGCTTATTCTGAGTATTCAGATACACTGAATACACACAAGTGTATTCAGATACACTGGAATAAGATTGTTGTCTTTCTCTTTATTTAAAACAACTTTTATACCTCATTGGTTTATAGTTAACAGTCTTTGTTTCATAGAATAGCAGCTCACACCCTTTTTGTGGAGCACTCATTCAATTCTAATGATAGGTGATTCTATTCTATCCCAAAATGTGTATTTGTTTTCAGGCAGAAAGTTGATTTACGGATTGTCTCAGTTAAATGCAATGTCACATTTAACTCTCCTTTCCCTTTATCACTGCCAGGCCATAAAGCCCTTCTCGAGGCGTAAGCCATGCGATATCACTATCTGACTCTTCCGCATTGGCAACCCCTAGGCCACCATCACCTTAAAGATTAACATGACCACAGGTCTAGAAATACTCTGTCAGTGCATAGAACTTGTGGTGATTGAAGAACAGAACACATGATAATTAATTGACTTCAAAATGTGTGCCCTTCATAAAACTACCAAAAGGCCCAGATCCTGAATTGAAACACTGATTATAATATGCAAGACATTAAGCAATCAAGAAATAAAAAGAGCTTAATCCAGGAATGGCTGCCTTTATAGGACTTGGGGGCTATAAGCTCTAGTGCCCTACTGCTTGGGGGTCAGTTCGCTCCCAGTGATAATTCTGTCAGACAAGTAATGGCCAATGTGTGGTACAGCGTTATCAAAAAGCAGACCACTTATGACAACAACAAGGAGACAGTTCTCAAGGAGCCGCTGCCCAGAAAATCACTCCAATTCAGTGTCATGATGAAATGTGTTTTCTCCAACTAAATAGATAATGGAAGTAAAAATACTTGGCCACTTTATACAAGTTTTTAAGTGAAAAAGAAACCAAGTGACATTTTGCAGTAACTTGAAAGTGGCTCTGAAATCACCTTGTGACCACATGTGACAATCCCAACTTCAATTCATGAGTTAGTTGTAACATGCAGAAGTGTTTGTATTCCTCAAAGTTGGGCTGAAAAAAAAAAAAAAAAGACTATCAGATAACTGAATAGAAAGTGAGGGTATAAAGCAGAACAGAGTTAGATGAATTTAGCCCACCTATATCTCATTACTTGGATTTAGACAAGACTAAAATTTAAAAAAAAATTTAATTGTACACATTGCAACTAAAACATTGCAATTCTGCCATTTCCTTGGTTACTACTTTCAGACTTGTGACTCTAAATTCTGGCCAACCATCAAGAACAACAAAGAAGCTCATTTAGTAGTTCCCTTAGGTCCGAGTGCAGACCTTTGGCCCTTAACAATAATACAGGCTTATGGCCCCACGCCTGGTTTCTCCCCAGGTGTTCAGGACCATCTCTTTCATTCTCCATATAGAGCTGACTAGGAACCTGATTGCTTCCTCACATGCAGTGTGGCAAAGACTAAGCTTGTTATCTTTTTTCATAAACTTTTTCTTCTCCCTGTTTCCCTCAGCATCCTAGGATGAAATGCTGGCATTCCTTACATAAAATAATGATGCATTTTTAAAACCAAACACTCTACTGTTCTTACTTGATCACCATGTAGTCAGTAGTGTTCTGTATAGATTTCCTCCTGCCCCGGGTGTCAAGTTTTTCAGTTAAGATCACTTGCTTGTTAAGATTTAATATTAAAATGGAGGACCAGGGCTGGGGATCATCAAGAAGTACTTTGAGTGCCTACTCAGGGTCTAACACGATTGGGGTTTTGTTTTTGTTTTTGTTTGGGATGTGTGTGTATTCCAGAAAGTGGGTAGAGATGGATTTTTCCCCATCTGTTATTATTATTATTAGCTATGTCTTTTTTCACCACAGGGGAGTTTTTAGAAGTAGTATTCTTGGATTCCAAAAAAGTACACTTTGTTACCAGAGTCTTTTATAAGGACAAATACTTTTCTCGTTAGACTTTTTGTACGGTGGTTTCCCACCCCACCTTTCTCCCCCCTCCCCCATACTCTCTGTCGGGTGATGTGAGCATTGTGTTGGTTGCTGGGGTTTTTCATGTGTATTGCAAGTGTGTGGCCTTTACATTAGTCATAATGCTGAGAGTGGGGACCAGGGAGAAAACAGAGAAACACAGTCTTCCTGTTTCACACACAGATGAAGGTAACTGATGTGACATTTATCTCTTTGTTTTCCTGTGCTCTCATTTTTAGTCTTTGTAGCTCCATTTCCATCTCTTGGGTTCCTAATTCCTGCTGAGGTCATGAAACTCAGTTTGATTTCAAAAATATAACCTGAGTGGGCTGTCACCAGTTTCCCCCATCTACTTTCTGTCACCCACCTTCCATCTGAACTTAAGAGAGCTTCCTCTGTATGTCAGTTTTCACTCTGAAAACTCGCTAGGTCAGAATCAGTTAGAGCTCACTGGCTCAGAATCAGTTTTCCTAGGGAATATTTTCCCAGGGGCATAGGAATTTTATTTTTGAACCCCTGGGCAGTACCAGGCAAACATGCTGTGTGGATCTGCCACTCTGCCCACAGCCAAGAGCTTTGCCTGGCTGCTGGTGGAGCCGTCTGACCTTAGAAACCCTCAAAACTTCACAAAAGCTTGAATATTCATTTATATATGACATTTTTAACAGCCTCCGAGGGGAGCATGGTGAGCTGCACTGAGAACACATCTTGACCTGTGCCCCAGACAGATAATCTGTAACTCATAAATTTTATGACCTTGGGCAGGTCATCTGACCCAGGTATCTTTTTCCTCATCTGTAAAGTGAGTTAAAGGGGGGATAATCTCCAAGGTTCCTTTCAATTCAGTATGATTCTTCTTCTCTAGTATCCCACTGGGAGAAAACAGGTTCCCAGACAGGAAGACAGGAAAGCATGTTTGAGAAATGACAAACGTGAGGGAGTTTTGCCAAAGCATAGGCTTCTCTGAAGGCAGTGCTCATGAGTTGCTAGAAGGGCTGCCTTAGAGCTGGACAGCAGAGGTCCTGAATACCACTGTAAGGAGTGTTCCTTTCCTCGGGAGTCAGAGGGAAACACTGAAGGTTTTCAAGTAAGAAAGTAAGAATCTCACAGCTGCACTGAGTACAGTGAGGAGGGTGCTTTTATGGAGTGCCAGCAGGCTTGCCAATGGTAAACCCCAAGGGACCCTCGAGTCAGGAGTTTGTCATCAGAGTTCAAAAAAACTTGGAATTGTAGATGGAGACTTGAGAATCTTCCCAGGTGAGACTGAAACCATGAGAATACATAAGATATTCTGTAGATAATGTACGGAAGGCAGATATGGCTTAGGAGGAAACTTTAGGGCAACCAGAATAGGAAGAATGAGCAGGGATAGTATTGTCGAAGAGATAGGAGGACATCCAAGAGAGCCACTTCATGGAAACCCCAGGAGATGACAGCCATTTCCAGAGTGACAACAGAACAAAGTCCCACAGAAGGTGAAGCCAGAGAAAAAGGTATTGGAATTGGCCATGAAGATCTCACTGGTAACCTTCAGGAGGGCCACGGCCATGTGGAGTGGGGGCAGGAACTTGACTACAGGTAGCTGAAACAAGAGCAGTGACAAAGTTGAGTGTGTGGCTATAGAAGGGAGAAGAAACTAGAGCAGCAACGTTGAGGGTAGGACAGGGTGCCCAAGGAGACAGCAGTTACAAGATGGGCTTTTGTGATGTGCACACATCTTCTGAGGTCAGGAGAGAAAGACTAGAGATGCTGGAGCTGAATCCTGGTGGGGGCAGAGCAGGCTCCCAGCAGGAGGGGAGGGTGTACAGAGGGCTGATGTTAAAAAGGAGAAGGGAGGGGCATCTGGGTGGCTTAGTTGCTTAAGTGTCCACTTGGGCTTAGGTCATGATCTCACCATCCGTGAGTCTGGGCCCCACATCAGGCTCTGTGCTTACAGCTCAAAGCCTGGAGCCTGCTTAGGATTCTGTGTCCCCCCGCCGCCCACCCCACCTCTCTCTCTCTCTCTCTCTCAAAAATAAACAAACATTTAAAAAAGAAAAGGCAGAGGGAATTCATAAAGGATTATAGAGCTGAAGTCCTGGAGGTGAGAACTAGAGTTCATTGTGTCTACTGGCCTCTATTTTTGTAGTAACGTCTGGGGGTGTGTTATCAGATGTGAGAGTGAACATGGAGACTCGGGAGCCTGCAAGAGCATGAAGGGGCTTAGAATGGAATCTGTGGGTTGGCACTTGAGAGCTCCAGAACTTTGGCTCAGCCTTGAAGACAAAAGCAGGATGGGGTGCCATGACCCAGGCATGATACTTGCTCAGCTACCTGGGTGAAGCCCTGACTCTGCCTCTACTGCCGTTACCAGGGTTTCTCTCAAAGAGCTTGTCATCTCTGTGTGTGTGTGTCCCCATTTTCTCACAGTTGAGCTGAATTATTTCCAAGGAAAATGATAGCTTGATTCTTAAGAGCCAACTGACTAGTGTTATTTTTCAAGTCTTGACATGTCTGGTTACAGACCTAAACCTGTCCTTTTCTACTTGTAATTAAGTTTTTCTTATGAGTTATGTATAGTAATTTCAAGCATCTTAATTATCAGGGCAATAATTGGGTTTCCCTGTTTTCTGGTTCAAGTTGGTGCCGGTTTCATTGCTTTTAGTGAAGTAATAAGTTCTCTTCGAGAAAATGTCCTCTGTGCAACCCACTTTAACTGTTAAATAACCAGGACACTAATAGACTAAATTCAATGTTAGATCTCCAACTAAATCTCTGTTCAGAACCAGCTCTAGACAAGATCATCCTTGCCATGGGTCCCTTTCTCATTATTGTCAGTATAGTTGAATTTGACAAGATATAATATTGGTCAGGAATCTTTTGGTTGGAAGTAATAGAAACCCTTCTCTAAGTAGTTTGGCTTTAAGAAAAGAACATATTGGGTATTGGTCCAAGTAACTGGGGACATACAGTGGTGGAATGGCTTCAAATGAGGCTGGATCCAGGGCTTAGACAGTGTTGTCAGGATTCTCTTTCCAACTCTTGATATTTTTTTCTTCTGTGTTTGGCCCTGTCATTCCTGGGAGCCTCAAAACTGCATCTTTATAAAGAACCTGAAATCAGAGAGACGCCCTCCTCCTTCCACCTTCCATATACCAAGCTCAGGGAAGCCTCTGGCATGTGCCCATCCCTGAGCCAGTCCCCATGACCTGAGAAATGAAGGACTCTGGCCACCCTAGATGAGAGGTGGTGAGGCACTTCATGTGGTATGTCACTAGGATCCTGTGAAGAAGGTGTTTCCAGAAAGGAAAAACCGAAGGGGAAGAGGGAAGGGATGCTAAGTTAACAAAACCCACAGAAGTCCACTCAAAGCCGTCACATACAACCTAAATAGTAAAAATAAAGATAAAGCTTTCCCAGTGTCTGGTTATTTTTTTTGGAAGGCTTAAAGTTTATTATTTATTGTTGCTAATGTTAGTTCTGGTCTTCCCTGGATTTGTATCTTGATGATGTCAAATCAAATGTCACTTCAAATCAATTGATGATGTCAATTCAAATCAAAGAGTAGTCAGCGTTTGGCTTAGCAGAGAGCTGTAAAGTGACTTCAGGAAGAATACACATAATTTCCAGTGCTCATCTAAAGTCATCCCTTCCCCTGGAGTCTACTCTTTGATTTGAATTGGTTCCAATAAAACAGGTTTGGTTCAGCAATCATCTGGGTTTCAGGCAGGCCAGAATAAACCATGAGAAAAGGTGTGGGTATTCCAGTCCCGACTGAAAGCAGAAAGTATGGACATTTGTGAGGTTAATATATGTAAAAAGAGTGACACCAAGTAAGATTGAGAGTGGAAAGGAGGGAGGATGCCTAGCCAACCGCATGGTAACGGACCCCGCCAAGCTTTCTGCCTGCATTCACAGATATGGGCTGGCCTACCCTACCCACCTGCCTTTCCACCCTGCACAGGTCAGAGTGGGTCCTGGCTGCCCACTCTCCTTCTGAAGAACTGTCTCATGAGCCTATTTGCTAAAATGCCATTTCCTTTGTCTTCTTACCACCCACGTACAAGCTACATCTCAGTTTAAATTTCTGTGATAACGCAAACAATAAGAGTACTTAAATTAGACAGTTGCCCAATTAAAGCCATATTCTGCCGCTATTTTTAAACCACAGTGATAAGAGAGTGCCTGGACTCCTCCCTTCCTAGATTTATAGCCAGTCTGCTCAGCACATCAGAAGTCCTCTCAGTCAGAACACCTTTATATAAAGTGTGGTTGAAAATAGATCCAGTTAAGCTGACAGATAAGCTTTATCTATTTTTTAAAAAGCCTTCACTTGCTAATTATCTCATATATTTGAGGGAAACCTGTTAATCTCAATATGACAGTATCAGAATTGCAGTATAGCTCAGAAAATACAAATCACGATTATTCCTTCTCTTCGAGACTTACAACAACATTTGCAATTCCCGTGTGGCAGTCAGGTACCACAACAAAGCCACAGTTAGTAAGACCAACAGTCTTTGGTGTTCAGAATATGTAGAAAACCCAGTGAAAGGTCTTGTTGTAGGATTTCTGGCTAGTGATGTCCCCATTCTACTTGTTTTCCCTGTTCAGTGTTTTGTCAGTGTTCATATTATAAGGATGGATTTCTTCTTTAAAGGCTTCCTTGTGGACACACAATGAGATTTAAAGATGTATTTCTTTTAGTCTTCCTGACAGTGCTTTGAGGTGGGCGTTATTAAAATTATCATGTTACAGGTATAAAACAAGAGGCCAAGAAGAGGTAAGGGGCTTGCTGTAGTCACACAGCAAGTAAAGAATGGCCTCAGGGCTTCTTCCCCTCTGGTCTGGTGCTCATTCCAATCCTCCCGGGGCTGTGTCTCTGGCCTTTTCTAGATGGTTCCATAATTTGCCCTGTTTTCCTGTCATTCTTTCACTGCTGGCCTCAGGCAAACCAGACCCACCTTTCCTCTGCTCTGGCAAGGCCTTGCAGTGGGTTTAGTTGTAGCAAAGGAGAAAGGAAGCAAGGGCCCTTCCTTGGTCGTCGTTGGACTTCCTGACTTCTCTGCTCCTGCCCAGGGTGTGGCACGGGTCCTCTCCCCATCCTGGATGACAGAGCAGACTCCCGCAGGGTGTGTTGGCTGTGGATTTAGGGCTTGTTGTGTGAAAAGATTTGGGAAGCTGTACAAACAAGGAACAAAACCTCCCACATGCCTTCAATCCTGGCTTTGTTTCCTGTCTGAGAAATGTTTTGGTGGTAGATTTGCTTTTATATTAAGAAAAGAACAAAACCCTAGAGTTTTGAGGGAAAGTATTTCAGTGCAATTCTAATGATGCCCAGAAACTGGACTTGCTTTGGAGGAAGGGGGATGAGGGACAGTGGGACTAGAGATTGAATTCTGAAACTTGAGAGACTATAATGAGAATAATTTATGGTTTGATAAACTTTCTCTTAAATCTAGCCATCAGCCAGTCCGTTCCATCCCAGCCACCCCCTGCATTTGCTCCCAAGGGCTTGGGCCCTGGGTGATGATGTGTATTGTGCTGTTACTTTAATCAGCTTGCCTGGGCCCAGTGGCAGGGACCCCAGAACCCGAAAGTGCTGACAAAGATGACCTGCTGCTGTTGAATGAGATCTTCAACGCTTCCTCCCTGGACGAGGGTGAGTTCAGCAAAGAGTGGGCTGCTGTGTTTGGAGACGGCCGGCTGAAGGAGCCAGTGCCCACTGTGGCCCCCGGAGAACCAGACCCCAGGCCCCAGGCAGGCTCAGGATTCCTTCCTTCACAGCTTTTAGACCAAAACATGAAAGACTTACAGGCCTCACTACAAGGTATGTACCATGGGGATTGAAACAGGTTTGTGTTATTGCTGTTTGTTATTTTTAATCCAAAAGGCTCTTCCTACCTTCTTTGTCTTTTTTTATGTTTTCTGGTTTTTATTTTATATCCAGTGACTTTTTAGTTGAAGTCTCAGAGTCCTATTCCAGCTTTAAGATACGTTGCAGAGTTTTACATATTTTGCTTCTCATAATTTTCTCCTCATGTTCATGTTTCCTTTTAATAAAAGGTTAGAGAGGTGGCTCTCAATCTTAATGTCTTGTTCTAATTTTAGGCTTTTGCAGGGCATACCTTAGAGAATCAGATCATCTTCCCAGTCATGGCCTTGTTGGCTTTGGCCATTTCTGCCTGGCCAGCTCTCCACATTTCTATACACATGTCATCTTTCTAGGTGCCAGGTAACATCTCACTGGGCTTCTTAGCTCTTTGCACATTGAATTTTATCTTGCTTCTTGCTGTCTCTCCATCCTCACTTACCCCAACCCTGAGGATGCTGTCAGTTCAGCTGCTCCTGTCGTGCCTTAACCACGGGGCCCAGCAGCCCCATGCGCCTTGGCCGCAGCAGAAATACAGTTTCCTCACTGAGCATGTGTGGCTGGCAACATTGGTCAGGGCACAGGGCAGCACACGGGTTGAGAACTGCCAGCACGAGGAGCGCATTGATTCAGAGTGCAAACTAAACCTCGGATTGAAATTGAAATTTTAAAGTTTGAGTTTCTCAACAGACCTTGGGAAGGAGACTGTTTTCTAGTATTTCGACACCATTTTCCTCCTTTCATGTCACTTTAATTGTAAGACAGGAATCATTATTAAATTCTCAAATTGTTTTGGTTTTTCCATGAATTTAGGCTATCTCCTTAATAAGTGTTTATCTGGCACTTAGAGCTGAGAACAAACAGCAGCACTGGAATGATTAAGTAATTATGAGCTATTAAAAAAAACCTCAGGTCTTTGGAGATGAGATCATGGACACAGCAAGACTTGGTGGGCAAGATGTAAAAGAGATGTCCCCTCCTTTTTTAATGAAATACATGATTCCTTTTATCTTCTTTTGTGAGTCCCATTTTGTAGCCATGTCACTTATTTTCAGTAACAGAGTTAGAGATAGGAGGGATACATGGAATCCAAAAATACTTCACCCTGAGTTTCACCTCTGGGTTTCGCCATCTCTTTCATTGGCACCCCAGATGAGCACCAGTGACTTGAGTTTCACCCCCACCCACCTGCGGGGGAGGTGCCAACAAGTCGTGGGAGAGCTGGAAGCCAAGAGCGAGGATCTTCTGCTCGGATATTGGGGCTGCTGGAGACTCTCCAGCTGTGCTGCAGGATGAACCCCACTGGGGCCCCGAGCTGTGGAGACATTAGGGCCCCTGCTGCCCGCAGCAATGGTATTGGCAGTGCTCTCACTTAGTTGGGGCAGCTGAGTGTCATTCACTTGTAAGTGGCCTCCACTGACAGCAGAGAAGTCAGAGCTTCACGCCCTGTTCCTGAGCAGGCAGGGTGAGAAGATCTCACCTCAGGGGCCACAGCCCTGGAACTATGTCTGAGAGCTAGGAGCAGAGCAGTGGCCATGGACTTTGCACTTTAGCCTTATCCCAAGTCAAAGAAACAGCACAAGAGCACACTTGGGTCTAATGAGGGAGGTATTCTGAGGTGCCTGCGTGTCTGACTCTTGGTTTCAGCTCAGGTCATGATCTCACAGTTTCATGGGATCAAGCCCTGATTTGGCTCTGCCCTGGCAATGTGAAGCCTACTTGGAATTTTCTCTCTCTCTGCTCTCTGCCCCTCCTCCAGTCATACTGTCTCTGTTTCTCTCAAAAAAAAAAAAGGGGTGGGGGGGAGGAGGTGTTCTGACAGTGAGAAATGCAAGCTCATTGTTGAAAGAGGCATTCTTGTACTGGTAGAGAGGTGCTACCAAGGCAGGCCATTTATTTCTCAAGCAAGCAAAATCTAACTTGATATTGCCACCCTACTAGCTTCTTAGCAAGTTTCTCCTTCAACTTAGATTGACTGGGTCCTTCTAGGTGCCAGGCGCTGGGGAGTCATCTGAGAACATAACAGACAAGGCTTCTGCCTCCTGGAACTTACATTCTAATGAAGAAGAGATAATGAACAATAAGCATAATAAAGAAAAATCACATAGTGGGTGAGAAAGTGATTGGGATGATGAAGAAAAGGAAAGGTAGAACCAGGGGATAGACAGTGTTAGGTGGAGAGCAGGGTAGGTCAGGCTGTAGAACTAAATAGGATTCGCATTAAGATGAGATCTGAGCAGACTTGTAGGAGATGAGAGAATCAGCCATGTGGAGATACAGACTGAGGGAACCCATGTGCCATTGCCCAGGGAAGGACACCCCTGGCATGGCCAAGGGTCTGCAGGAAGAGCACTGTGGTCCAAGTGAGATGAGGAGGCAGAAGCTAGGCCACACAGGGCCCCGCGCCTTTGGAAGAACCTGGGCCTTTTTTTTTTTTTTTAGCCATATGATGGAAACCATCATAGCATCTTAGACCAACAATGGATATGATGTGATTTACCATTTAAAGGGATCACCCTGGCTGCTAAAAGTTTCCTTTTCTCTGCTGGTGTTCTGTGAATGCCAGTGTTAAAGGAGTTGTTTTGTAATCTCTGAGTTCTCTTGTTGCCTTTGCATGCCAACAGCCACCAATTGAATGTCTCAAAATGACAGGGAAAAAAAGTGTAATTTAAGTGTTTGAAAGAGGAAGCCCATTCAGCCTCTTCTACACTTATGGACTCCCAGTAGGTGCCCCCATAATTCTACCACTGGTGCTGCCCAGATTCAGGGAACCATCAAAACAGACATGGTACAAACAAAGAACAGGCCCTTTGCTTTAATGATTGATCATGTAATCTAATTACATCCACATTCTGTGCTTTCATCAGGACTTTCCCCTTAAAAAAGAGGAAAAGATGAATATTGGCTCTAGATTTCTTTATTACATCCATGGTCTAGAAATTGCACCTATATACATGAATTACAGAAGCATCTAAGTAACTATTAAACTTCTGACACCTCATATTGAAACTGCTTCCCCTGATTATCCAGATCATCTCAAAACCCAAATTAAATAAACAACCAAAATAAATAGTCAAACACAACATGGAGTACAAAGGCCCATTGGCATGTTGGCTTAGTGAAAGAAGAGAGAGTGAAAGGTAGAGAGCTGACTTACCTAATCCTCACCACACCCATCCCAGGCAGGTATTAACATAATTTCCTTTTAGAGCCCAGGGAAACTGAGGAACAGAGTAGCTAGGTAATTTGCTTGAGACCATACATCTGGTAGGAGAGAGACAGATTGTGACCCATCTGACCCATCTGACTCCAGAGTCTGTGCCTTTCACTTTCCCTTCCGGCTCCCTCTCTGTACCAAGTCTCTGATGGCAAATGTGATTCCTCACTGGGTTCCTTCGGGCCTCTCCATGGATGTTCCCAGAGTAGCAGGACTTGTAATGATTAGCTTGATTCTGGGTGTCCTGGACACACACAAAGACCAAGGACAGGCTGCTACCATGGAAGAGGAATGTGTGGGGGGGGAGGCAGGGTCCCTGTCAACCACAAAAATCAGATGATGTTCTAGAATAGAATATTTGAAATCGAAATTGTCTATAGAATCTTTGCCTGTGCTAGCAGACGCCCACATCTTCCCTGAAGCGCATTCCTGCTCCATCTCGCCACCACTGTCCTGGTTCTCTGTGAGGTCCAGGTGAGGCTGCATCCTCAGGGTCACAGTGTCATGAGAGCTTCAGGAATGCTCCAGGCTCCGGGGCCAGCAACCTCTGCTCTCCCACAGGCTGCATTTCCCTCCCACTCTCCCCTCCTCCCTTCTCCTTCACCTCTTCTGCGTCTCCCCTCCAGATCTCCCCATTTTTGTCTGCCTCTCTCCCTCCTTTCTTTGTCCTCTCCCCTCATCCATTCCCCTGTGCTTTGAGAGAGTAGAAAGGAAGGGGGATTTAGTAAGATAACAATTGCATTTTCCTCTACCTCCATCCCAACTTCAAGCTCTAGGAGAGCTAAACAAAACAGCTTACATTTAGGATTAAGTCAGACTGAACATTTGAAAGAGGAGTTAATTTTATGTAGGATTTCTAAGAGTTTCTGAAGTTACCAGCATGATAGGGGCTGGGATTTCCTGTGTCATACAGGGAAGAGAATTTTGTGCCTTTCTGAGGCTGCTCAAAGTGAATAGAAAGAGAGCTGGCTAAAGGGGGTTGCCTTGCCCAAGATAGAGATGAGGTGAGGCTGATAAGCCTCATTCAACATTCTTCTCCATTCTCCACCAATATCCCAAATTTAATTTAGAAATAGACGCTGATACTGAAAAGACTACCATCTGCTCAAAATGAATGCACCAGGACATCTTGTAATTTAGGATTCTGCAGACCAAAGTTAGGAGTTTTGTTCCACATTCTCACAAATGTACAGCCCCGTGTTCCTTCTGGATATTCTTTTGTTTTACACCATGCCTAGGTGCTGTCGCCATCTGGGTGGGTTTCTATTTAAGGCTAATATCATGCCAAGCTTTGCATTATCTCAAATTAACCTTTTCTCAAACTGAACTCACCTCTTGCCATTCTTAGCTTGCCCTGGCTCCAGATAACTTATGTCTGGGGCTCAAAGGATATGAAGGAGAAGGCCGTGGGGTGCAGTTAGAGTTTACTGCAGAGTGAGTGCTTTTGGCATGAGCCAAGGGAATTTTTGTTCCATCAAAGAAGCAGCGTATTGAGGAGCATCTGTAGGTCTTGGATATGTGCAGAATTTAAGTGTCTCCTTTAATCCATAGAAGGAGCCTTAATGACCATCTATTCCACACCACCATCTATTCCACCTTTAATATATGAGGAAATCAGGGAATCCCACATAGGTCTTGTGACTTGTCAGGTTGGAGTTTTATATCGTCATTTACATAATTTCAAAACTCTTCAGGTTGGCTTACAAGGTCCTTTAGGACCTGACCCCAGGCTAATTGCTGCCTACACTTCCCACACCTTTATTTAGCATGACTTAACAACATTGTTTTGCTGGAGAAACATGTATTATGTCAGTAAGCTGGACTCCAGCCCTACTGAACTTGAGCCTGGTTCTACCCACCACTGGGCCCTGGTATATGTTCTCGATCCTCCTTAGAGCACATCACCCACCTCCACACCCATGATGCTTGCTTTCCTGGGTTAAGTTCTCATCCTACAGCTACAATGTTCCTAAGTTCCCAGCTACAATGTCATTTCATACATGGAGCCTTCCATGACTCCCTCTTCCTCCCAGCAGCAGGGGTAGGTGTTTCTGCCTCCATTCCCTCTGCACCCAGTATACTTACTCATTCCCATTCTCTCACATCATTATAAGATTGGTCGAATTTTCTGTTTCTTGCTTTTGGTTGTCATGGGCAGGGCCCATGTTTGTGTTGCTCACCATCATATTTCCAGAACATGGCTGAGTGCCTGGAATACAGTAGATGTTCAAAAAAGACTGGGTGGATGGAGGGATGACAAGAAGGGAGGGAGAGAGCAGCAGACATTGAATCACCAGATGAAAAGAAAGCAGTCCTCACGTAATCTCAGGGGTTGTTCCACATGCCTGCTGAGCTGGACTAAAATTCAGATTAGCTTAGAGTTATTGATGGCCTGTTGTCTAGCCTCTCTACTCTGTGGTTTCACCTACAAGATCCCAATTTATTCCTAATTGGGATAAATGAGGCAAGAATTTTTATCCACCCTTTGCAGATAATGGAAACTGGGGCTCAGAAGGGGAAGTATGGATGGCTGGGTGGTACTTGGCCACATGGCTCTGGTGTTCCCACTTTCCCTTTCCTTGCCAACCCCACCCCAGAGCCCCCTAGGCTGTGATCATTAACCCAGCCTGGGCTTTTGCTCTCTCAGCTAGTGAAATTACATTCATGGTAAAGTACTCCTCTGGATGGTGTTATTTTGGCTTCACTTGCTGCTCTAGCTGGCCAGTGTTATTTCTGGCTGATTTATATTTTCCCTTATGTAAGTAAAGGGGGCAGGATTGCTCCAATAAAATTTTATATGTGTTTCCTGCAAATGGGTAGCACAGTTGACATATCAAAGGAACTGTGAGCTAGGATAATCATTTTGTTCACAGAGCTCTCAGCTCTGGCTCTGTGGCGCCCACCCTTCACCACCCTCTCCTGACACAGTTACTCTGAGATGGGGAGACATCTTTCTAGCCACACCTTCATGTTAAAAACGCCTCAGCCAACTAACACCAACTAGAGAACAGTTGATGGCAATTACAGGAATATTAGCTACACTATGTTCTCTTTAAGTAGCATTTTTTCCTGACAGAGGCCAAGACATTGGAAATCTGGCTTGGCATTCCATCCGTAATTACCCTCATTGCGCCCCTCCCCTAAATAATTCCCAAAGTGATATAAGTGAGGGTGACATTGCAGCTGAAATGATATTTTCTTTTCTTTCTTTCTGTTTTAGCCAGTGTCGCAGCCATACCATTTTCTCCCTTTCCCACATGCACATAAGTCACTTAGACTCCCGCCTAATAGCTGTTGTGAGGTAACAATGTGACTTGGCACACTGGCTGTTGATTCTGCTTCACATTGTGGGGCAAGGGAATGGTGATAGCCTGTGTCTTTGTGAAAACTCTGAGGTATGCTGTCCCTATCATCTTAGACCCCACTAAGGGACTGTCATCAGACTCCTCATCCTTTAGGTCCTCTGCTCCAGAGAAGCCCCCAATTCTAGATGTTGCCTGTATGATTCATGGGTATTTAGGTGAGCAATATTCCAAAATCCATAGTTACAAATGAATCCAATTAGAAGACATTTATTGTCTTTATAAAGGAATATGCCATTACAATCCAGTGGGCTTGAAATATGATTTATATTTCAGGTACTTTTAAAATATGACTTGATACGCAGGCATTTTATTTACTTATAACTTTTCGGGAACATGCCCATTACATAAAGTGAGGGGAGCTCCATTTTGACATGTAGATTTATTTCTGCCTCCTTTAGGAATGTGTTCCATTTTATACTCTGAAAAATACAATGCATCGAACCTGCCTTGCTTTTCGAGTATTCTCTGCAGCCATTTAAAAAAATGAATGTTGTGCATATTTTTGAAATGGGAAGAATTATCTCATTGAGTTCCCACTGTATCGAATAGCATACAGAGGAAGGGTGGACTTCTGTACCCTTTTGGCTTTGCTCTGGGTCACCTCAGGTTCTTTCTCAAAGTGTGGGCCTCCTTGAACTCAGAGAGCTTGACAGAACTGAATAGCTTAAAGCTGCAGGACCCGAGGAGGTGGGGTTTTGAGACAGACCCCTCTGATTCCTAGGAGGGTCTCTGTCTTTGTCTGGCTCTGGCCTCAACCAAGATGATCTGATCCTGATAGAGATGGTGACCCTTGTGGCCTCCTTGGAGACCACCTATGACAGTGCTTCCCAGACTTGCACTTAGAATCACTAGGGTGTTGTTAGAACAGTTTCCTGGGCTCTACCCCCAGGGATTCTGATTCACTGGGTCAGGGTTGGCCCTCGGAACTTGGATTTCTAGCCAGCTCACAGGCGATGCCCATGCTGTTGGTGTGGGCACCACACTTCAAGGACCACTGCCCCAAGAGATTGAGGCCAGCCCGCAGGGAGTGCTGGGAAGGGTCGGTGGGCTCTGCCAAGCACAGGTGGGTCAGGAGTACATTTGGCGTTGGGGATAGGATTATAGGGGAAAAGGATAAAATTCACCCAGTTACATTTTACCTCTTTTAGCCTTATTTGACATACTTAAGGAATCACAGTTTTAACTTTCCACATTTGCCACTGTTGTATGTGATTTGTGTTTAGAAGGAATGCTCATTGGCTAGTTATCTAGGAACTAGGGAGGTTATGTTGCTCCTGGATTACACCAAATACGGGTCATTTTTTAAAACTGTTTTTTTGAACTGTAATTTACATACCATAAAAACCAGCCATTGTAAAAGAATGGTTCAAGGATTTCTGGTAAATTTACATTGTGCAATTAAAACTGTAGTCCAGTGTTAGAACATTTCCATTATCCTAGAAAGCTCCCTCAAAATCTGGTGCTTTTGATGGTTTATGAATTATGTTAATTACATGTTCAAGTACCTTTCCAATGAATAATACTTTTAAAAACCCTCTATATGTTTGCATTGTTTTAGGACCCATAAATAGGTCACAGGTCTCCTGTTTTCATTTGTCATTGGTTAGGCCACTTGCCTAAAATGAAATAATTCAGCCAGTGAGTATTATAGTATTTACTACACCAAGCATTGCTTAGCCATCTCTTAAAATAATGCTTCATAAGTGTATTCCTTATGGTTTAAGAATACTTTCCAATGGTTTATCCTAATTCAACAGCCATTGTGTGGCAGGCAGTGCAGTAAAGGATGTAAAGATGAATAATACATGTCCTGCCTCCAAGAGGCTCACAACTCTAGGAGGTGACACAAAAATGCAAACTAATAAATATAGTAAGAGTTGCTAATGACATCTCCTATTACAAATCTTAAGACTAGTGGCAGGGGAAATGAACAGCATTAAATCCTATCATTTTTGTGGCCTACACTCAGTGACTTTCTTGCTCCAGAAATTGGTTTCACTGCCCCGGCTGAACTGTGCCATCCAAACATGATGTCTCAGGAGGGCCTTATCAGAAACAAAACCTTTCCCAAAGAAAACACTGTAATCAGAGCATCCCAGTAAAAGGATATGGTTTTAACAATGATGGACCCAACAGTGATACATCATCTGATGGTCTGTGTTTCACAGTGAGAATCAAGATGGACTTAGTCCACAAACACCTCCCTCTGCTGCATTAGGTTTTTTTGAGCACACTGAAGAAGGAATTTCTTCTCTCAATGAGAAGTCATGACTTAAATGCACCAAGAATTAAAGCAGACTTGCAAAGGAGTATGTGGCAAAGTTCTAAATTAAATGTGAGCCATGCCAAAACATCGAAGGAAACTAGGCTTGCCTCTCCCCACGCAGGACTGCCAGATGCTGCGGTCACATAGAAGCAGGCAAAGCACAGGGGCATTACAGAATGCTGGGTTACCCAAGCCAAGTGCCATTGTAAGAATACGACAACAAGTTAGGGGGTCTCTTTCCCCTCATATCCTTGGACTAGACTACCATTTATTTATCTGTAGTAACTAAACTTCTCAAATTAGCTGGATAGAAAATAAATGAGCTGGATCATAATGAAGTGGAGAGGACCCACAGTTTATTAGTTACATCGCTACATTTACTGTTGTCCACTTTGTTTTAGGCTTTCTCCATTTATGACAGAAAAACAAGGCACTTGATTTCCTTGGAGTGCTATGGATAATCTTTGGTGTGACCATGCAGTGATGTTACTTGAGAAGAAAAATGGGCGTAGAGCTAAAAAAAAAAAAGTTTTAACCTTAGCAATTTCACTTTTTTTTTTTCAAAATCCCATCTTTTCTCTAATTTTCCATACTTATGAATTGGGTATGACTATATATATATATATATATATATATATATATATATATATATATATATATATACCTACTGTCCCCTAAAATATATCCCAGGTATGAAGAACATGGCAGAAGGGTATTGTCACCCTTTTCCTTTTCATTGGAGGCCACTATGGGTGAGACCGTGTGTGTGCCCAGTTCCTGGTGGGGCAGTGTGCCCACTATTCCCTAGACCTAACAACCTCTGGTTTTGAACATCAGGCTGGTCAGAGGGCAATGTCAATCCTCCTACTCCATGGCCAGCACCACAGGCAAGCAGCCCAAATGACAACAGCCCTGCAATGAAAGGTAATACGGTGTTTGATTCCCTGGAAATGACAATTGCCTTCCTTTCAACTGGCCTAACACCATTTTCTTTCTTTCTTTCTCTTCTTTCTTTACTAATTTCTATTCTTTTTTTTTTAATGTTTTTTTAAAATTTATTTCTGAGAGAGAGAGACAGCATGAGCAGGGGAGGGTCAGAGAGAGGGGGAGACACAGAATCTGAAACAGGCTCCAGGCTCTGAGCTGTCAGCACAGAGCCCGACGCGGGGCTTGAACCCACAAACCGCAAGATCATGACCTGAGCCGAAGTTGGATGCTTAACTGAGCGAGCCACCCAGGCGCCCTTTCAGTGCCATTTTCATGAAAAGACCAAAGGCCCTGTTGCTGTAGGATAATCCCATAACCACTGTCCTGTTCCTCTGGCATAACCTCCTAGCAGCTTGTCCCACCCGTATTTTCCAAGAGTCTTTCAACCAGATGGCGAACACATTCCTCCTTGCACTCAGCTAGAAGGATAACCTGTCAGACATTTTCTTCGTGCTTTTGATACTCCCACCTGTTGGGGAAGGGAAAAAAAGCCTGGGTCATCCAAGCCAATGAACTTCGATCCTCATGTGGAATGATTTATATAAAGAAGAGCCCCCAGCTTGTGTAGAAATTACTTGCATGAGGCACTCTTTTGAAAATACTCTCCTCATCTGGAACGTAATTTGGCTCTATAATTGTGGCATTCGGGAAGTTAGGGCGGGTGGTTCAGTGGAAGAACGGCTAAAGGGAGCATCCAGTGAAGGTGAAGTGGGAGGGGTGAGGGGGAAGAAGTGGGGGCGCATGTCAAAGGCCTCCTCCCTCTGACAGGAGATGGGGACGAGGAGCAGCCAGGCCCAGGTGCCACCCCTCCTCTCTCAGCCTGATATTCTGAAGCCTGAAAAGTGGCCACAGTATTTCCCTTGACCCAGTAGATTCAAAAAGACTCCTCCAGTGGACACTGGAAGGCACCGTGCTTCCTCAGCCATTCATTCGATTTCTGAAATCACAGTGGTATTCCCTGCTTGTGTTGAAGCAGCACAGTCTGAGAGTTTAGGCAATTTGTTGGGCTGTGCCATCTGCTGGCGGGGGTGGGGGGGGGTGCAGGTGTGGATTAACTGGGCTCGTTCTTTACTGAGCTTCAGGCCACGGTTTAGAAATGTTTCTTAGCCAGCCAACAGGGAGACATGGGATCCCCTAGCTAGTTTTAGAGACAGAGTGTAATGGGATTCATCTGACTGAGCAGCAGCATCCCTTTTCCAGACAAGCCTGGACCCACCTGCATGCAGTATGGCAGAGCTGGGCATTTCGGAAGGTATGCGTATTCATGTTGCCTCTTCTCTCCCCAGAGCCTGCCAAGGCTGCCTCCTCCGACCTGACTGCCTGGTTCAGCCTTTTTGCTGACCTCGACCCATTGTCAAATCCTGATGCTGTTGGGAAAACGGATAAAGAACATGAATTGCTCAATGCATGAGTCTGCAGCCTCACGGAGGGAGCCATCATGCCACTCCTCAGCCACACACCTGGGGGTACGCAGAAGTATGAAGTGATCAGTATGCTGTTTTAATATTGACGTGCCATTTTAATAAAATGAAAGGGTCAGAGGCCCTGTTTATATTGGTATAATTATTTACTCGTATTTGGTATAAAGGGTTTGAGTGTATTCTGTCTGTGGATCTAACAATACAGGATTGTCTAGGAGCAATTTTCCGGCTGGCTGCCCTCCTGCCGACGTCTGCATTATGGCTGCTGATGTGTCACTGGGCTACTGTGAGATCCAAGTTCAAATCGTGAACCTTTTCTTTGTTAGGTTTCAGTAACAAGTCCTGTAGCCTAAGAGGCAGAGGGAGGCTAGCAAAGCTTAAACGCCTCCTCATGTAACCCCTGCCTTTGTCACCCTCGTAGGGGGGCTGCAGGAAGACTCCGCCTTCTTGCCATGCCACCTTCCAGTGAGCTCTGGATGAAGCTCCAGCCAACCAAAGACACTGTCCCCCAGCCCTCGCGTGTTGGGCTGTGTGTTCCCACATGGGTAGGGGAGCTGGGCTGGTCTCACTGCACGAACATTTCTGTGGAAAGCAGCCATATCTGCAGATGCCAGTGTTTCCTTTTATCTTCTCTGTGGCTGGAATTCAAAAGCATGTATTTCTGGAGTCCCTTGTGATATTAACTGTTTTTTTTTTTTTTAATTAAATGGCAGAGATATTTGACATGCAAAGGCAAGTTAAGAGAGTCTGTTGTGGGGGCTCAGTGGGGAGTGGGCATTGGGGCTGGAAAGGGACAGAAGGGGAAGACAAAGACGAGTCTTACCTGCATGAAGCTCCTGACAGGATCTCATGCATCCCACATACAGTCCAGGAGAGAAGGGCATGGACGTTTGCTGGCTTGGGCAGAGATGGGAGCAAGTTTTGGATGTGAGCACGTAAGCGGTTGAGACCCTCCATCAGTGCTGAGGCCCCAGGGCTGGCACCTCTCCTCCCCTCCCTGTGTCACCTGTGGCATCCTGAGAGGCCACACGCCCCTCTCAGTGAGACAGTGGCCCTGAGAAGAGTAGAATTGATGATTAACCTGGACTCGGTCCTCTGTGCCCCACTGAGCCAGGGAGGTCTATGCTGCATTCTTGTAGCCACAGTCTCCAGCTTTGGAAGGGTCTCCTGTGGCCACTTCTCCCAACACAGGAATGCAGCTTCTCTGCTCTCTGCGGTGTGCCCTCAGGGAAGGACCTGGCCCAGCAGTAACCACTGTCCTCTGCGAGATGGCCCTGGGGGACTGGAAGGCATCCCCCTTCTCCTCCTCCTCCACTGCGCAAGAAGAGACCTGAAGGCAAAATGGGGCCAGGACTCAGCGTGTTCTGTGGCTGGTGTACCGGCACAAACTGTCCACGGAGTCTCATTTGTAAGAATCATTTAGTGACTCTTCAGCCTGGCATGCATGGTCTTTGAGGATCCCGGGATATGGCCCTAGGCCCTCCCCACCTCTCCCCAGCCCCACCGTCCCACACATACATGGGAAAATTTGCTGCACCTGAAGCCCACCCTCTCCATGCTGGACCTGTGTATTTGCCACACCCTCCCGTGGGATGCCCCCATCCCTTTATCCCCGGGTGCCGTCACACCCCTACCCGACCCTCAGATCCCACTTCCTTCAAGTGTAGCCCATGGTTTTCCTTGGAAGAACCATCTCCTTCCTGCCCTTCCCCCGTCTCATGACGAGCACACGCGTGGTGCTCTGCCTGGCCTGTGAAGCCTATTCGTAGGCATCTGCCCCTCCCCCTAGGTGTTGCAAACCCAGAGAAGAGAGTTCCTGTTTCCCCAAATCTTGTGTGTCTTCCTAGTAATAAGCACCCTGGAGTCACCTTGTGAGCACGGGATTAATGACTGCTGAGTGGGGCTGTCCTGTGTGGAGTGCGGATTAAGGACTCATCATTTCATCCTGGGTCACATGTATGTGTTCACAGCTGTGGGAGCCCCATAGCAACCGCAGTAAGGAGACGAAGCAGAGAAATCAGAGGGTAGACTTGCTCCATCCAGGCTGGAGTCTCAGGGCACTAGCTTGCAGGGGGGGTGCGGGGGGAGGGCGGGAGAGAAGTGGAGGAAAAGAGGGGAAGGGGTGTGGGGTTCTTCTCAGTTGAATGGATCATTTTAGTTGTATTTGAAAGTTGATCTGTGGGTGAAGGGCAGAGGATGATTGTGGTAGTTGAACAGGCTTTGCTACGAGTAAAAGGAAAGAATTGCACATGTAGGCATTTTCTCCCTGAATTTTCTTTACATTTTTGTTAAAAAAAAAAAGATTCAATTCCTGTTCCCATCTGCAGTCCACTTGGCCAGGCTCTTGATCCCTCTTGATAGGCGTGTTTTGATCCTGGCTCGCACAAAGCCCCCTCGGCCACCTCTCTAGTTTAAGGAGAAGCAGCTGCTGGCTTATTCTCTTTTAAGCAGCCTGTGTGCCGCCCAGCCAGGGGGCTTCCTTGGGGGCCCACCTCGGGGCTCCTCGCCAGCCGCCTGTGGAAGGACTGTCTCTAGCGTGAAGAAGACAAAGGTGCCCCACCCCCTTCACGCCCAGTCTCGCTTCTGCCTCATTTTCATTCCTTGTCTCCAGGCCAGGCTGAACCACAATTGCACCGGAACCCTCTGGGAAATTCAGAGAGCACCTGCTCCTTGAAAACTTTCCTGCTGTTTTAGGTGGTCTGCAAGTCTCCCTTCCCTTCTTGCACCGCCCCAGCCAGTATGTAAAGAATATTCAAATATAAGGGAGGGAGCCAGAAGCATTTCTCTTTCCTCTTTTCTTTTTCTCCCAGCTGGCATGGGCTTTGGTGCACTTTATAGATTCCTTGCCTTCAAAATGTAATTTTAGAAATGTCAGGTTGATTTTGAGCTGTGTGAGAGTGAGAAAAGCATCCGTCAGCTTCAGAATTAGAAAGGCACCAACTTAGAGCTTTTTGTCGGAGGCTTATGCCCAAGAAAACGTGGTCTGCTCAGAGTTGGCATCCCCGAAAGGCATGAGTTGCCAGTGGGCACGTAGACGGGCTCACCCACCGTCACGCTGTGGCAGGTGTTTCCATTGGGTGTGGGGCCAGGGCCGAGCCATTTGAGTCAAGATGCCTTCTGCCCATGCTTCGGCTCCAGGAGCCCGCCAACTGAGCTCCATGCTTCCCTCTCGCAGCCTCCACTGCCAAGAGACCCCTCCGCAGGGGCCCACCCTGGCAGTGGCTCAGGGCTAACAAGTGGCACTACTGACTTTCCCTGTATATCAAAGTGCATCTGTCTTTGTGATCAACTGGTGTCCTCCAGACAGGCAATGCAGTTAATCCTTTGATTCAAACCATCTCTAGTCCTCTGACTGGCACCACACCCAGTGCAGTGATGCAGGTCTCTTCAGCTTTGTTGGAAAATAGACTTCATCTCAGAGCCAACTCCAGTGATTGACAGTGGCTGCCAGGAGTTGGGAACTGAGAAGGATTCTGATAAATGAGTGATGTTTGTGAGGAGTATGGGGCAGGGGTGGTGGCAACAGTGCTGTATGTTTCCCAACACTGCATTAGACCGTGTCTTTCATGGGGCTTTTAGAGATGATGACGATGACGATGACAACTGCTACTACTACTATTACTACTACTAGTTTCCTCCTCCTCCTCTTCCTTCTTCTCAAATAAAAAACCTAAAAACTAGGATTCTGGAACTCCAAGAGGGGCATACATGGATGAGAAAAGCAGGAATCTAAATTAAAAAAATCCCGCACATAATTACTGAACCCTAATTGATCTCAACTCCTTCAAACAGCAACAAAAAACTGAGGGTGGATTTATTTGCTCAGGTAACTGAAAGGTCCAGGCACATGCTTCAGGCACAACTGGATCAAGGGATCAGGTAGTATTCTCGGCAATCCCCCCCTCCCCCAACCTTTAGCTCCCAGCTTTGATTCGGTGTTGCTTCATCCTAACAGACTTCTCATAAGGAGGAAACATGGCCACCAGGATCTCCAGCCAATGTCTTGGAATTGAGCTTGCCTTGGATCCTATGTCCAGTCTTCAGTCAGCCACTGGGATCAGGGTGGGTGGGGGTGGGAAATAGGCTGTATCCCCAGCTTTTCATGTGTCTGTCCCTGGAGCCTGACACTTAAGGACTGGGGATAGAGAAAGGATGGTTCTGAAGGGAAGGCTGTGCTGCCAATACCAGAGAAATAGGGAGATAGATCCTGGGCAGGAAAATGCAGTGATGATCCACTCCAGATTCCATTTGAGTGACCTTGAGAACACAGGGTATGGAGCATGGTGGCTGCGGGAACTGGATGGATTGTTTTCCAGAAGCCAGTTTTGAGGCCACTGAGAGCCCTGGGACTAGAACGCTTGGTGTTCTAAGCAGCCCACTGAGGATGCCTACTGTGCAGCTCTCCTATAGCTGACTTTGAGGAAGTCAGAAGGGACCATAGAGCTCTCTGCATCCAACCTGCTGATATCCAGATGAGAAAACCAGGGGACATATAAAAAAACAATAATTTAGTGAGAAACCAGGTCTAGAACTCACATTACCTGACTGCTAGACCAATGCTTCTTTTTCTTCAAGGTGCTTGCTAGAAACTTAGAGCTGAAGAAAGCAATTCAAAGACACACAGAACTCCTTTAAGAGCCCATGTCTTTTCTCTCCTCCCAACTCTGTCTCTCTCCCCACTTTTTTGCCAATTATTTGACACCTTTGGGGGATGCACTCCAGGACAGTAGTATAGGGCAGGAGCACATGTTAAGAGTTTGGGTTCTGAAGCTGGAGAAATCTGTGGTCACTCCTCCCAAGTTGAGGTCCACCAGCTGTAAGTCACAAACCTGGCCTTCTGTTTCTTCTTCTTCTGTAGTAGCATTGCCTGCCTCATGGAGTCATTACAGGGACTCAGATGATGCCCCAAAGATGCAGCACTGCACTTGCATACTGCAACACACAGGGATGGCCACCATGTCACACAAGGCCACTCGCTTGGAATAAGATACTGAAGTAGGAGTGGGAAGCTGGTCTCTCCCCACGACTTTCCATGAGGCTCTCCAAACCCCATCTTCTGTCCCCATCACTTATTAATTTGTTCCTAAGTATCATGGGAATGGAGGAAGGTGGTAGGAAGG